ATAGTCTCATTATTTTGAGCATATTGACTAAAAGGAAATGAGGAATATTATCTGAATGGACAGTGATTTTACTTTTAATTATATATATATATAATTATATATATATATAATTATATGCAAAGCTCTGGGGTCATAAAGTTTTCAGAAGATAACATTTTCCTATATTATTATTATATATATATATATATTTTTCAAGGTAAATCAAGGTTATACAGTGTGTTGTTAAAGGGAAAGCTCTTCCCTGCAAGTTCTAAAGGAGATCAAGCCAGTAAAAGTAACTCAAAAGTAATGTAACACATTACTTAATACTTACTTATTTAATACTTACTTTATATATATATTTATTTATGTGCAAACTGATACACTTGACCTCTATTTCTCTGCTTAGATTAATCACATAATGGCATTGTGTGATGTATATGCATTTATATTATTAAAGTACTTAATGATGAATGTTTTACAAGTCTAAAACATTAAAAAAGAAGAAATTAATAAACTTCTTAAGCTTCATTTTTTGTTTTGTTTTACATAAACCATTAAAACACCATATAAACTTCAGAACTGTTTCTTCAAATGAATGCGTGAAAACAAAAACATGGCATCAATGGATCAAATACACTATATGCCATTTTGGAGTGGCTTTTGTGCATAACTGAAAGTGAATTATAATTGAGTTCCATACAAAAAAAAAAAAAAAAAAAAGTAAAACCATAAAATAAAATTGCTTTGGAACTTAACATTACTCCAAACTGTTTGCAGATGCTGTGAATTAAAAGTATCGTCAGTAACCATAAATATAAATTTCACATCCCTCAATCTGCTTTTCTTGACTGTCATAGTGTTATTACCATTGGCTTGCACTGTATGAATCACATATAACCATTGTTTGACATGTTCTAATAAAGAAAAGAAGTCAAATAGACATCAGATGGTCTGAGAGTGAGTTCATTAAAAACAAACTTTAATTTTTTGGGTGGTGAACTATGCCTTTAATGCATTTCCATTTCTTATTAGTGTCATATTTACACAAATAATGTTCATATTTATCATTTGCTTTGAAATGGTACATGTATAACAAGCCTAGGACACAATATATAAATCTGTTTAGTTTTTACATATATGTTGATGTCTGTTTGTTGGTAACGGTGTCTGGAATGTTGTTAATACGTATCCAGTGCATTTACTGAACCTGTGATTTGTGGGTGAGTGATTTTTATTTATTTTTTTATTTTTTTCAAACATTTCAACATCAAAACATCAAAACAATTTGCTCTTCAGTGTTTGAACTCTCAGTAATGATTAAATCACACTGAACTGAGCTAAACTGAACTGAACTGAACTTAAACACTAAAACCTGAACCACACTGTTCCAGTTACTGAACCACACTGTTCCAGTTACTATGACCATTTATGTGAAGCTGCTTTGACACAATCTACATTGTAAAAGCGCTATACAAATAAAGCTGAATTGAATTGAATTGAAAACTCAGCATCGACCTTCTCCACACAGCAACTAGAAAATAATGAGGAGAGAAAAAACAAAGAGTAAGGCCACATCATAAATTGCACACAATGGTTCACATGAAGATGAATGTCCCAAAATGCTTGCGATCTTTATTGGGATTTAAACTCTAGATGTATTGTGTTATGAGTATTAAAGGAATAGTTCACCCCAATTTGTTTTATTCATATCATAATTTACTCTCCCTCAAGCCATGCTGGACATGGAATGTCTTTCAGATGACCAGTCAGAGTTACATTCGTTTATATCCTAACCTTATCTATTCAAACCATAATTCTTAATTTATAGCAAATTTTAATATATGCTTTAAATACAAACGTGATGTGAGATAGCACTAACAATGCATCAACTTGGAATTATAAGGTTCAATCTTACATTTCTGATGAGTTATTGACATTCTTATTAATTGACAACTTATTTGCATTGTGATGTTTTTTTATAAGTTGTGTACATTTTACGACTTTTATTTAAAAAACAAATGTAACACACATATTTTGAAGCTCAATTTCTCAAAATCAACCCAAATGCAGAAAGAACCTTGCAGTTCCAAGGTGACGAACGGCTATGGCGATTTTATTAGTTATAGAATTCTGAGACTTTTCAGTATATTCATGTACTTCACGCTGACACTGAATATTAAGTAGAGGGGGCGGGGTTTACTTTTTGTACATCATTTCCTTGTAGCAAACTAATGGTAAGATGGGTGTGATTAAGAATATTTAGGCTGTAGCTGTCAAACTGACAAAAACAGAGAATCACCACTCCAAATAGTTAGACTTTCATTGGAGATTGCCAAAACTATTTTTTTTTTCCCTGTGAAAACCAGTGTTTCCCAACCCTGTTCCTGAAGACACACCAACAGTACACATATTCAAAATCTTCATAATCAAACACAACTCATCAGAACATAAGAAGAGACTCCAAAACATGACGTTAATGGGCCAGATAGGGAGAATTATGGATACAAATTATGTACTGTTGGTGTGGCTCCAGGCAGGGGAAGCGAGGTAATCAGCAGCTTAGGGCCCTCGAAAATTAGGGGCCCTCAGCCATTGTCAAGAAGCCTATATTAATCATGTAGCTCTTTTATACATTTTCTATCATATGTTGTAAAATCTGTCTATAACTATTGAGATTGTATGCTATTGCTTATTTTCAAAACTGGGGGCCCCCATGAATATAGACTGTTCCTTCCAAACTGCACATGTGCGAGGTGTGAGCACTTCAGTCAATGCTCTGCCAGCCAATGTTTGCCAACTTAGCGACTTTTTTAAGACCCAGCCCTAGCGCCATATTTTCAAAAAAGGTACTAGCAAATGTTTTACTGGTGTTACCGTTCCTAACGTTACTTCACACAGCCGTCTCTCACACCTGCAGCATTGAGAGTAGATCATTCCTCTGCATACCGACGGCAAATGTTTTAGTGCCACGAGCGTGAGGTATTTCCCTGGTACAATCAAACACATCAGCTTCTCCTCTGTTTTAAATGTAATTATTTAATGGATCGTTTATTATTATCTTGCTGTTGTTCACAATCACAGAGATTTTATTGACGCCAGTCTGCCAGCGATCAGAGTAGGTAAAGTGTGCAGGAAGGAGTGAGAATTTTGGGAACTTTTTGGAAAAAAGTAGAAATAAGTCAAACAATGAAACGCAGCTTCCTTCGCGATTCTGCTGTTTGGCTGAAACAGCTGTCAGATGATGAGCGCTGTGAGGAGGTTAAGAGATCAAGGGCCTGTTCAAATAACATTTCCCAGTGAAACAGCCAGGATTTACTAACCGCAATTACTCAATTCATATAAAAATGGTGAAAAAAATTGTTTGATGGATTGTGAATTAAATTTGATTAAATGTTATTATTATTATTATTATTATTATTATTACTGTTAAAATCTAATCACAAAAATAGCTAATTAACTTTACATCAGGGTGCCCAAAGTTTAGTTCCAACCTCAATCAGACACACCTGGACTAGCTAATCTAGCTCTTACTAGGCTTTCTTGAAACATTTGCACACATGTGTTGAAAAAAGTTGGAGCTAAAATCTGCAGGTGTTTGGATATCCCTGTTTGTGAACTTTTATTTGTGAATTTATTGCTTTAAATAAATTAGGGAGATAGATTTTCCTTTAAATATTAAAATATATAAAACATAGTTAGGGCCCCATACCTTGTATTACTTAGGGCCCCCAGATCACTAAATTTGCCCCTGGCTCCAGGAACTGGGTCGGGATACACTGACCTAAAGAATAACAACGTGCACTAGCATAATAAAGAGTGTAAATTTTGATTTCTCATGAACTATAAACTGCTGGCCATGTATGGATGACTTTTTAATTATGGATGAATGTTCTTTTTTGGATCCTTAAAAAAAAAAAAAGTCCCATTCAATTAAATTGCAATGCTTGGAATAGTCAGGACAAAATTTAATATAATTCCAATTGTTCATCTGAAAAAAGAAATACACCTAGGATGTCTTAAGTTGGACTAAATTATGCAATTTTTCTCATATTTGAATGAACTCTTCCTGGTTAGTGGAATGAGCAACCTCCAGGTCTTCCTCAGTCATGCAGTTCTTGTCACTTCCACTGCTCATTTACACTTTCCTATGGAGTCTCACCTGTCATTATTCACTTACAGACAACACATAATAATTAACAGCTGTACTTCTGGAAAAAAAAAAAAAATAAATCATATTCACAGACAAAATTATACACAAGTGGTCAGCTCATAGACAGGGTGATCCCACCCAAAAGATCGAGTTCTTCTGTTGATCCACTTCAGCATCCTCCCATTGCTCTTTTCATGTTCAAATCTGTCAAATTAAGTACAGAATGTGACTAAGAGAGCTGTCACCCATCACGTCCACCTCGCGCCGTGCCAACAGGGTACAGATTTAAGCTTCAAACACTTCACGTTTAAAAGAACCACAGGAAAGTAATTACTCCTTTTTCGACTGGTGGACAAAAGAAGGAAGAAAAAAAAAGAGATGGAAACCAAAAAGGAATAATCACAATGAGAAAGGCAAAGCAGCTGTCAAAGAAGAGTGCGGCAAATCCAATAAATGGGCAGTGGGCCGGATTGGATGGAGAAAGCTTCTCAGAGATGGTGTAATCCAGTGTCAGACAATGGGTAATTCAGGCCTGATGGGTGCTGCGACATGCCCTTTTATGGGCGGTGTGGGTGGCAGGAAGTGGCTCTGTATGCACCTCTTTAGTTGCAGGTCCACCAATCAGACCCCGTCGACTTCGGAATCCAGCGGCTAAGTACACAAGTATGTTTCTTTGCCGTTTCGCTCATTCTGTGTGCAACTTTTTGTTCAGATGCAGCAGTTTTGTTTTTCGATATGTGTCTTTCTGTTTGGTGTTTGTTAGAAAGAAGGAAAGCTGCAGTAGAAGAGAGAGGCGTAAGTTTGGTCTGAAGATGATCATGAGGGGGTTTTGTCCTCACTGTCCTGGCTTACGAAGCTCAAGTGAGTTCTACATAACGAGGGTTACGAGAGCAAACAGCAGGCTTTGCATCATTGCTTCGGTTAGGGCTTTTACACCTGGGCTTGTATTTCTGGGGTCCTCTACTCTTGTGTTCAGTGGGGACTCCTGTCAATAAACAAACAAACATTGACACAATCATTTTATGAAACTGCAGATGGTGAACAACTAGTGAATCTCATAAAAAACAAAAACAAATGTATGTCGCATTTTAACAAAGCCTCTCAATCAATCAATCAATCAATCAATCAATCAATCAATCAATCAATCAATCAATCAATCAATCAATCAATCAATCAATCAATCAATCAATCAATCAATCAATCAATCAATCATTTGGTAATTTAATCAGCCAATCAATAAAAAGTGTATCAGTGAGTATGTTTAAATGAACATCAATAATCCAATGTTAAACGATTAAGCCAATACTCTGATTAAGAGTCTATCATGTAAACAGCAATTTTTGATTAATCCGATTAAGGTCAAACCATTGCTATACAATAACTTGCCTCATTACCCTAACCAGTCTAATTAACCTAATTAGCCTAGTTAAGCCTTTAAATGTCACTTTAAGCTGTATAGAAGTGTCTTGAAAAATATCTAGTCGAAAATTATTTACTGTCATCATGGCAAAGATAAAATTAATCAGTTATTAGAGATGAGTTATTAAAACTATTATTATTAAAAATGTGTTAAAATGTGTTCCCTCCGTTAAACAGAAGTTGTGGAAAAATAAAGGGGGTGGCTAATAATTCAGGGGGGCTAATAATTCTGACTTCGACTGCATATTTAGAGCCGGAAAAAATACTTGATTCGTTAATTACTTAAATCTTTGAGTCGTTTGTTTATCACGTAAAAATATTGGATTCATTCATCTCTCAAGTCCTCGGTTTGAGTTGTTCGTTCATCATGTGAAAGACAAAAGCCAATCATATGCATTCAGAACTTGAAAAGGATTTGATCCACCCGAGTCCTTAGGTTTAAGTAATCTTTCTTTACATTCGTCATCTGCTGAACGAGCGATTTAAAAACCCAAAGACTCAAAAAGTGAACTAATAATGGTTGTTTATGGCTCAGACTGTATGCAATGGTTATGGATCTGTCAGTGTCAGGTGAACGAAGACATGCCAAAAGAAGTGAATAGAGTGAATCATAGACACCAGGTAAACAATGAACAATTTCTTGTTCTTAGTTTAGTAGCATTCTAGTTATGACTTGTTTGTATTGTAATCAATGTTTGGGCTATGTGTAGATGTGTATCTTGTAACATATTTTAATGTTATTTTGGCAAATTGAATGAAATGACTCAAAAAGATTTGTTCATTTTTATCTCGTTTGTCACGGACGGCATGCATGAAATGTTCCTGAATGAAAGTGAAAGTGTCAAACTGCAGTTAAAGTCGACAAGTTAAAAATGAAACAACCAAATTTACATGAAACTCTGGAGAAAATGTGGATCGCGTGGTGAAGCAATGACGTTAATCAAATTATGTGGTATGACATACGGGATACCATGAAAGGAACAGTCAAAAAGCAACTCGTAAACACCTTAATCATATTATTGTCTTATTCAGATTAAGGCAAATAAGTTGAACATGTAGTCAGTGATACACTGAAAAAAACAGTTGCATAAACAAATAATGTCAAGCATTTTTATTTTTATTGATTGAATGATTTGATGGATAAATTGGTTCTTTGCTTTACTTTTATAAACTATTTGACCTTTCAAGATACTTGGTATAGTGTTGACAAATATTCCTTTTTTAAACAAACTAAAACAAACAAACAAACAAATAAAAGCACATTTAAAATGAATTACTTTTTTTATTGTATTTTTTTTATACAAAGGCCTATCGTTTGATTGATTGATTGATTAAAACTTCTTTATTTACTGATTGTATATAAGTAATAAAATAAGTATAATTACAACATGTACAATAAAGTCATGTGATGATGCTTAGGTGCTCAGTCTCTGGACACGCATTTCTTTCTTGCATCAAAAAATCATTATATATAATGCTTGAACTCACTGGCTTGGAAAGTTTCATCTCCGCACTTTCGCAGTTGTAGTCTTTTGACGGATAGCAATCAAGTTCCTGCAGGGAAATAAGGTTATCCTTCAGAAATGGGATTAAATGTAATATAGTGGCACAGAGATCTACTGTATCAGTCTGTAATGCATATCTATCTTATCTATCATCTGACAATCAGTCTTATGTGAAGCGTTATCAAGCTCACTGATATCTCACTCTTTTATGGATTTTGGGAGGGTCAAACCTCGGGATATAATGATTCACTCGAATAAGACACGATTTCCTAGTGTTTCTAGATAGCCAGGAAAGGTTTTAAAGGCACAGTTCATGCAAAACATAGACATTCAAATTTACTTATCCTAAAGTTGTTTAGCCACTGACATCTACAGAGTAGTATAGTAAAAACAAATTCAAAAATAATAACTGTCTAAAATGTATCCTTTGTGATCTACAAAAGTAGATTGTCACACACAACAAATTCCCCAAAACTTATTCCAAAAATGTGTGTTAGACTCTCAAAATATGCATATAAACACTGTAATCAGCTAAGTGTGTGCGCTGGTGTATGCGTGTGTTGGTTCAAGTTCTTCCTCATATGTGTAAAGGGTAATGAAGGGGCTGATGAGGCTTTTGCAGCATGATTTGCATGATTTATCTAAACTACCGTGATATCAATCAACATATGCCATTATGCCAATCAGATTTGAAACTTATGCTCCAAGAGAGTAATTTTGCGCATTGCAAAAATAAAAACAGAAAGAATATTGTTGTGACTAGCTGGCTCACACATGAGTTTGAGCTGACCCCCCTGTATGAGTATTATAGTATGCCGATTATTTAAAAGGTGTGGCTTTAAAGTATACATGGTGAAACATCAAGTTTATCACATTAAACCACAGCTCTTTTAGCATACAGATATGGCCTTTAGAAATGCGCGTCTCAGTGACTAGTATGCCTTGACTAACCACAGGTAGCCGCAGCAGTCAGAGAAATTCTCTGACTCAGGAAATACATTACCAGTAGGGGGCAGCCGTGCTTCATTCTCATTAGTGGCCCGTTCTGAAGGCAGAGGACTCATATATGTGTTAGAACCAAATATGTGTTAGAACCAACGCAATTTCACGGCACTTCGTAGCTTTTTAATTTAGTTGCTAATTTGTATGAATTCTTACAATCTAATTCGTACAATTTAGTACGATTTGCTCATTACCCAATGACGGTTGGGGTTAGGGGTGGGGTTTGGTGCCACGCCTCCTTTTTAAAATTGTACATTTTCATACGACTGAACTCGTATGAATGCGTACAAATTAGCCACTAAACTGACAAAACGTAAAATACTTTCCTCGTGAGATCAGGCTGGTTAGAACATGTGTTTTCTATTTAAACAGCTTAATGAAAATCATATTACATGATCTATGATGGATGATGGGTGCCGCTGTGCTAGCCTGTGTTGCAGTGGAGAGATTGAAACTGCTACATTTTACAACTTTTTACTTCATTATGGCGGTAAATCAATGGCAAAATTAATCGATTGCAGCTGATGTTTACGCACAAGGAGAAGTGAACTGCGAGCAGATTACAGGCCTACTCGCGACCTTCATTATTTCGACCTATACATTATTTCTTCATATCCTACAATTTTCCTTACATTTTTGTTACCCCTTACATTGTAATGCAAACCAGAAAACCGTACATCCTGAACGGCTCCATGATTCTTCACAACTTGCTTTTATTTTAAGCCACCGCTTTTGGCCATCTCCTTTTAATTGGCTGAATTCTCATAAGGCCTCGTTCCTCTGAAGGTCTTTACAAGGATGTGCGAATCACAGCCTTCCTATTCACTCCAACAACCATACATTTATTCTTGCATCCCGCACCGTAAAACTCCATTCCCCCAAACAAGGTCATCAAGGCTTGTTTGTCAAGACGTCAACGCGGTATTGTTTATGACAAAGAAGGGTGGGATTGAACTACTGCAGACTCACCGTAATCCAATAAATCTGTTTTCAATTATGTTAGAATAAAGACAGAGACCTTTCAGCCGGGTCTGGAGTACATCCGCGCTGCCAGCTTGGCATTTGCAATAAGACTACTGAGGCTTAGAAGAGATGTAATCATCTCCCAACACCTTCAAGATACGATGCTAGAATATCACATGAACAATGCCGATGCCTGGTCCTGTTTTTGAATTGTTTCGAAAGATAATAAGAACACCTCAGCGTTTTGTAATTAAAATGGCATTCTTGCGGAAACATCCTGCATCTGTTTGCCTCTTTCAAAGAGGTCGGTTTAATCAGGTGCTGCAGTCCAGAAATCCGAAAGGCCACATGGAACATACAATAGCCAGGAGGCAGAGACTGTATCCCGTTGGGATTTAGTGCTTCAATTTGTGCTCCTTTAGTCAGCCTTCTCTTCACACTGGGCTGTTTACCCGAGACTCAATCGATCTTAATCTCTCCTACTCTGATTAAAAGGTAGAGCATGAAGGACTATTAGAAAGAATGAGTGATTCTGAGATGCTGAAAGTAAGTGCATTATATGAGCTGTTAAAGCATGTGTGGGATTTCACCACAAACCCCTGTGGCTTATTAGTGAACAACCTGCAAACCAGTTAAGTGTTAAAGGATGTGTGATTTATTTTGATTGCCATGGTCATAGTCCATATGGGGACACCTTATGCCACTTGACTTGTTGACATGATCAGCTAGTGACTTTTGAGGATGCAAGCATCTAACAAAACTGATTTTAGACTCTATAACAATTTAATATTGTACAACTAAATAACTCTAGTGATAACTTAAAGAGTATTTGCGTTGTACTATACTAACTTCTTAGTAGATAAGATAACAAAAGTAAAAAACAATGTTGGTCAAGTATATAGAGCCCTATCATACACCTGGCACAATGCTGCACCAGGCTATGTTCAGCCCAGCACAGGTATAACTTTCAAATCCTCCACCAAGTTGTTTAAATATCTAACAAATTTGCTACTATTTGTGCAGCCATGACCATGCTGGTCTGAAAAGGAGGTGTGTTATGGCACATCTTATCACTATTTTGTTAAAAGTTGCTAAACATTTCTATTTTGAGGCCACTGATATATATCATGCCATTGACCAACTAAAAGCTGGTTTAAAGTAAGATTTTTAATTATTTGTATTATTTAAAGAGCACTTTAGTGATGGGTGGGTCCAAATGCATGTACACCTGGCTTATTACACACACAGGGATGCACTGAAGCACATTAACATTTTCAAATACGAAGAAATATATCAAATTAAAAGTAATATTGTGTACATTAACATAAGAACCGCTACCTCCTACCATGCCTGCTTCACCACAAGAGGGCTTTAATAGGATCCATCTTGTTTTTATTTTTTTTATTTATTTATATTTATATGTTTTTATAGAGGGTCTGCTTGCTTTCAGTACAAATCAGTACTGAAATTTAAAACGTCCATTTCTTGCTAATATTAAATCATTGTTCCCATTTTCGTATTGGGGTTGCAGCTAAAAGGGCATCCACTGTGTAAAACATTACTGGATAAGTTGGCAGTGACTAAGTCGAATTGAAAATGAAAGAGTGATTTAAGTGTTGTTGAGCGTGTACTTAAACAGTGCTGATTTGCCATTGTATTCGCATGCTTAACAGAAATTACTGTGGCCATGAAACTCATCAGTTCACCACTGTAAAGCAGAGACAGGGACTTTGGAGCATCTTTGGAGAGTCTTTGGAGATGTTTAAAGGCGCAAATATCTGTCAATTCAGCAGCGGATCGCTCGTATGTCAGCTCATAAACAAACCCAGATGATCTTTGTGGCTTTATACAGCTGCAGTGTCTGAATCTGTGCTTGCACTCAGTAAACAGGTGTGAAGAGTGGAGAACTGATGACCTTTACAGCCAATCACATTAATTTCTGTTGAGCAAATCAGTGGCGTTAAGAAATGCGCTCAACAGCCCTTAAATGCTAGCGGGAAATGGATTTTTAAAACTTCAGTACTGATAGGTACCAAAATTAAGAATCGTGACAACACTACCTTGCACACAAGCAGTTCTGTTTCCTTTCTAGTGAAGCATTCAGTTTTTCTGCTTATAAAGTCTACCATGTAAATAGTGAATGTGGCATGGTGCAATCACAACTTAAAGTGAATAAGAGATGAGACTCCTGCATGTTATGCCCAAAACACATCCGCAACTAGCAATAAGGACAGCCCTTTTAAACTATGTGCTAGCTTCGATAACTGTTTTCACCATCTTTAAATTGCAATTGTGGATCCAAAACAGACTAAACAAGCATTCAGATTAGTTAAAATGTAGTCCAGGGATGGGTGATAGCTCAACAGGCTCAAATGACAGAAATGAACAAAGGATCTATATCCAAACAGTGTCAACTAAGAGGGTTTGGACTGAAAACCTGCAGTGACTTTACCTTCATTATCAGAAAATAAATAAATCAAAGATCTGCCTAAACTGACCTTTTATGAGGAGCATGTTGTATAGAAAGATAACCTCTTGCAAATGTAAATGTTTATTAGAAGCTATAGGGCCACATTGCGCAGCAAATTATGTAAAGCAATTTATCTTATCTCATCATTTTTATCTGCGTCTCCGGGGCTGGGTTACGGGGCAGCAGTCTTAGGGGAGAACTCCAGACTTCCCTCTCCCCAGACACTTCCTATCCAGGCGCATCCAAAACAGATGACCGAACCACCTCAGCTGACTTTCTCGATCTAGAGGAGCAGCGGCTCTACTCAGAGCTCCTCACCCTATCTATAAGGGTGCCACCCTGCAAAGGAAACTCATTTCGGCTGCATGTATCCCAGATCTTGTCCTTTCGGTCATGACCCAAATCATGATCATAGGTGAGAGTTGGAACATAGATTGACCAGTAATTTGAAAGCTTTGCCTTTCATCTCAGCTCCTTCTTTACCACAACAGACTGATATATCGGTGCACAAATCCACCTGTCAATCTCATGTTCCATTGCTTCCTTGCTCGTGAACAAAACCCCAAGATACTTGAACTCCTCCACCTGGGGTAAGGACTTTCCTCCAACCTGGA